TTTGTCTAGCACTCATAAGCATATATAAAATTTAGGGTAAAATCGAACGTGATAAAATAAATCACTTAAAAATACCGTGCAGAAAATGAAGATACAGACGACATACTTGACCGGTTAGACGAAAAACCAAATCTTCCAAGGAGTCCAAATCTTCAGCACTTAAATTTGATGACTGAAAGAAGAAGAAAGCCAATATTATACGAGATATACACCGTAAACAATAAAAAGCCTGGATTAAATCCAAACTGTTAGAGGTTTCTACGTTTCTAATTAGAAAAGTGGGAGAATCACTACAAAAAGGAAATCAAGTGAAAGAACAATACGGACACTTGAATAAAACCGGTGAAGCTGAGAATGTATGAAAGATTATTGCGATCTTAGACCTCAATCAAAAAATCAGCACTCACACATAGTTTTCTCGGTTGTCCTTGAAAAACCTTTGGCGGGTTGCATGTGGGATACTAAGGATAATAAATATCATCAGTATGACAATAGGTATGTGGGAAATATTTAGCTAAAATTCTCTATCTACGATTCAAAACCTATTAGTTATCAGATTGATATTTTATGGAATTCCGATAAAACTGTGGAGTTTTCAGTCAGTCAGTCAGTTACAACGTAGAACTTCGTACGTACAAACTTCTACTCTGAATATCAGGATCAATTTTAATACATTGATCAGCGTTGATGGGGCCATGAAGACAAACAACGAACACCCTTCTTATTGCTGAGAAAGCCATTTACTTTTTACCGTTATCCGAAGATAACATTAACAAAGAAGTCACCAGTGGGATACAACGAATTCATCAAAGTTAGTTAACGCGTACCAAATTACTCTGAGAATGAAAATATTTCGAGAAATTATCTTAACACTTTACCGCTATTGAGCTAAGAAATCGATAAATTATCAATGCACTTGTCTGTATTCAAATGATACAGAGAAATGTCCAAATGACCAGTTTTTTCTCTACTGAAAACGGAAGCTAGCATTTACTAGCTACATATAAGATTCTTGAGAATGAAGCTATACATAATTCCCCAAAATCAATGACTCATTAAGTGTTCGACATTGGATGCTGACCACGTTGTTTAAGTGGACTTGTTTAGCTGAAGGCTTCCGGTCATGCATCCGCATCAGATCACGTTTCAACACGGTGTGGGAGACAGCTCCTACGTTTCATTAGCCAGCTTATAAAAAAGGTCCTCGATATATTGGTAACGAATCAAATATATCTTTCCTGCCTCTTCTCGTCTGACTTCTGATTTCTATCTGACTGGGAACGATCGAATAAAGAAGGTGCTACTGTTAGCTATTTGTAAAACTAGAACATCCGTTGCAACCTCATTGGTGAGCCCGACGTGATCTGGTACACGAAGTCAATATACTGTAAGTTTGTTACATTTTGGAATATTATCTATCATTGTTATTCTGTATTTGAATTTTATATATTGTGATATACTTTTTTCCGCGAATATTTTTCTGGGATATATATTTTTAATTAGACAATTTTCGTTATCTATATTACTATGACGGAACACTCCCAAGGTTTCTAAATTTAAGTCTATTCCCCCTATTTCGATTCAGTTAACTCCATTTTCGCCCGACAATATCGAGTCCTAGTTCTGATATACAGAAGCCGATTTTCGCATGCACGGAATCACGGAGTCGCGCACACGTTTCCTCACGGTAGGTAAGACGTTAGCGCGCGAGGTTAACAGGTACGCAACACCAAGTATGTTTACTAGTGATGTTCCCGAACCTTACGAAAAGCTTAAGCTATCGATTTCAAAACGAAGAGACCTAACTGATCGGCAACGGTTAGACCAACTCCTTAACAATATCGACTTGGCCGAACTATGTCACTTGCTTACAAGATATCTTAGAATTCGTATTGACCGTAGTCAGTCAAAATCCCCACGTATGAGCGTTTCACGTAAGAGATCTGTCTCTCAACCACGAGAGACATGCAACCCCTACTGGTGCTGCTTTTACAACCAGTACGGTAAATGCTCTAGAAATTGCAGGAAGCCCTGCAATTATTACTCGACAAATACCCCAGGTTATACCAATCGCAATCGAAATTTCCTTGTGTAACCAGCAATGTTACACATCACATCTGGACTACAGGACCACCTGTATTTTCGAAAGCCCGAAGACTCGCTCCCGAGAAGCTTAGGTTAGCTAAAAACGAATTCGACCACATGATGGACCTAGGGATACTTCGACCATCGCATAGTCCATGGTCATCCCCATTGCACATGGTCCCTAAAAAGAACAGCAATGATTGGCGGCCAACTGGTGATTATCGGCGTCTGAATGCAAAAACCATTCCCGATCGTTACCCGCTGACTCATATTCACGATTTGACAGCTACCTTGAAAGGTACAACTGTCTTTTCGAAAATCGCCTTGATTAGAGCTTATTACCAAATCCCTATGGCACCTGACGACATCCCTAAAACATCTATCATCACTCCCTTCGGTCTTTACGAATTTCTACGAATACCTATTGGTCTAAGAAATGCGACTCAAACCTTCCAAAGGTTTATAGACGACGTCTTCCGAGGTCTCAACTTCGTACATGCGTATGTTGATGACTGTCTAATAGCAAGTCCGGACAGAGAATCACATCTCAAGCATCTGGACATTGTTTTCGATCGACTCCCAAATGCTTGGCATTACTGTCAACATTCAGAAATGCCAAATCGGAACTAATTGCTTAGACTTCTTAGGACACACTATTGATGCCCAAGGCATCCGACCCCTTTGGAGCAAAGTGGCGGCCATTCTGGATTACCCAGAACCGACCACGATCAGGCAGTTACGAACTTTTAACGGACTCGTAAGTTTCTATAGACAGTTCTTACCCAAATGCGCATCCCTAATGAAACCGTTAACCGATCAGCTTCGTGGAAATGTGAAATCAATTAGTTTAGACGACACAGCCCGTAAAGCATTCTCCACAGTTAAGGAACACATCGCTAAGACAACCCTGCTTGTTCATCAGGACACTCAAGCGCCCATTAGTATCGCCGTAGACGCATCCGACTCAGAAATCGGACGAGTCTTACAACAATGGGTTAACAACTCGTGGCAACCTTTAGGATTTTTCTCGAGACGGTTGTTAGACGCGGAATCTAGGTACAGTATGTTCGGTAGGGAATTCCTAGCTATGTATTGTGCTGTACGGCATTTTCAACATTCCATCGAAGGAAGAGAATTCACCCTGTTTACCGATCACAAACTTCTTACCTTCTCTTTAAATTCATCTTCAGACCAGTACTCACCGCGAGAGTCTCGACAACTGGACTACATTTCTGTTGTTTAACCTCACTTTTAGGAATCACGCGCTTCCGAACGACCGCCTACCACTCACAAGCAAACGGGTTGGTAGAACGTTTTCATCGACAACTAAAAGCCTTATTATCAGCTTCAAACGATTCACAGTGGACAGACGCTCTTCCACTCGTCTTGCTTGGTATTACACGGCATCACAACTCGTTTACGGAACGACACTCCGACTCCCAGGAGAATTCGTGGATCCTTCAGCCTCTTCATTGAACATGGATCTAAACTCTTACACGAGTAGGCTTACAAACGCTATGCGTTCACTCGACCTCAATCAACTGATGTTTTTGTTCAACCCGAATTACGACATTGTACACACGTCTTCGTTCGTCGAGACTCACATCGACGAACCCTCGAATCAGCATACGAAGGACCCTTCAAAGTTCTTCAACGCGAACCTAAGTACTATGTAGTCGATTAGAACGGTACGAAAGATGGCATCAGTATCGATCGACTAAAAGCAGCGTACTTAAAAATAAAAAACCCTAGCTACGTTGATTTTCCTTCGGTACAAGCAAACGACACAGCTACTACACTCTTAGTACCTTACACGACAACCGACACACAACTTGATACTTCGTCAACGTCGATAGAAAAACTTAAAACAACGCGTTCTGGAAGACGAGTAAGATTTCCAGAACATCCTAACGAATATTGCACGTAGGAAATAAGCTTTATCTTGAATTACCCTTTCATAGTTTATTATAAAATTTTTTTATTATGCTCATTTTTTTATTTATATAAAAAAACATTTTTATTTTTTTTAAGCGTATATATATAAATATTTTTATGTATATATATAAAACCCAAAAGAAAATCATTTTTTCCGATCGCTTTTACGCTGTTTGTAAGTGCATTAATTTATTCATTTTTCTCCCGCTCATGTTGTGTCCCTACGCAAGTACGAGTGTATTTTCGACATGCACTCACACGTTTTATTTTTCCTCTTTTCCAGAACGGCTGGAAAAGAACGACGAAGTTTTGCAAGGAACCGAAATTTTCATTGTACTATATTTCTTTATTGCTATGTTGTACATTTTGGTCCCATAGTTTAAGGAAAGACGACCAGACGCTGCTAAACGAAGCAAGCTATCAGAAGAGTGTTTACCAACGACAAACTCGTTGGGTTTAAACTTCTGGCTGGTCACGACTTAGGGCCATCACTACCTCACTAGGGAGGAGTGATCTGTAGCTGTAAATATTTCCCCAAAATCAATGACTCATTAAGTGTTCGACATTGGATGCTGACCACGTTGTTTAAGTGGACTTGTTTAGCTGAAGGCTTTCCGTCATGCATCCGCATCAGATCACGTTTCAACACGGTGTGGGACACAGCTCCTACGTTTCATTAGCCAGCTTATAGAAAAGGTCCTCGATATATTGGTAACGAATCAAATATATCTTTCCTGCCTCTCCTCGTCTGACTTCTGATTTCTATCTGACTGGGAACGATCGAATAAAGAAGGTGCTACTGTTAGCTATTTGTAAAACTAGAACATCCATTGCATCATCAAGCTTTATGAGAACCTCGAAAGTGAAGAACCGTAAAGAGACACTTACGTATTTCCTTGGTATATCAAATCCTGTGAGTCCATCAATGCGGAATATGAAAACAAGAAACCAAAGCGTACATCTGGTTTGTCACTTCCATATCATGACATAGCATCACAATATTCCATGCGCAAAAATGCAATCGATATTGTCTGATAACCTGAAGTACTCTGAACTGTAGGCCAAATATATAACAACATTTTCTCAATTATTTCATAAATATCATCTGGAGTGATAAATGCCATTTCTATGTCCAACTACAAAAGTTAGGAAGAATGAAAGATAACCTAAGTAAACTCGAGTTGTCTGTCAGACCTAGAAGTCCCATCGCGAAAACATCCAGCAACCTGCATATATTTACTAAATACACTTATCATCTAAAGCTGTTTGAATTGTTGAGTGCTTTGAGGTAAGCAATACCATAATCCAGGAAACTTGGTAGGTACAACAAACTCACGGGCACCCTAAAGAAGTCAAAAATTAATACAAATACTTTCCCCTGGAGTAATTTTGAACAAATACGGAGTTTCGATTTCAGTAAAACCTATATACGTAAATCACAAAATATTTACAATACCATTATTTTGACACAGAAAGTTCCGCATTTGCAATATGATAGATGAACGAAACCGTATGTTTCTTTGCATATTCGACGAACGAAGATCAATGTAACGATATTTTAATCTTTCCATTTCGTTGACCTTAAAATAACCGAGTGGTCATAGGATAACAACTGACATTCGCCTCATCTTTCGGAAGAAAGGAGAGTGGAGATGAATGACTAAGGATTTCAATGCTTTCAGCAACTATTTCGATTTCGCCAGTTGGCATACGCTTGAAGCTAAAATATAACACAAATAACATTACCTTGTTAACATCTTTTTCCGGACGTGCTTGGACTTTACCTGTCACTATCAGGACAGACTCAGAATTAAATTGCGGAATTTGGAGAGAATTTTTGTCACAATATATTTGTATTGAACCACGATCATCACGAAGAACAAGCGTATTTAATTTATCAGCCATGAGTATTTCAGGAGGCAGACTATTCCATATTAATGCATAATTGACAGAGAAGTTATCCCGAGTTTTTGATTTGTATTTTTCAATTTTGACTGTGGATAATTTGTCTCAAAGGTTGTATCCATGTGTGTCTTGGTGAAGGTGTAGGTTACGAATCAGAGTATAGACATTAGGAAGGGTATATTGTAGGATATTTGTTTACCATAGTAGGCGGAAAAGTGTAGATTTGTATTAGTTACAGATAACGAGTGGTGAGATAATATTGATGGTAAGGCAACATAGTGTACAGATGAGTAAAAAGCTGATAAAGAATAGACAAGAAGTAACTCACACTAAATTCGCGCTCAGGTTGTTTTGTTTTATGCTAACCGGTTGATGGGTGACAGGTTCTGTGGTTGTACGACCACTGGCAGTAGGCAGTCGATTGTGCGTTTTTTCTGACGTTTTACGGTATTTATAAGAGCAACAGTATTTAAAGAGCAATGGACCCAAGACGCTACCAAGACACATTACCTTGTTAACATCTTTTCCCGGACGTGCTTGGACTTTACCTGTCACTATCAGGACAGACTCAGAATTAAATTGCGGAATTTGGAGAGAATTTTTGTCACAATATATTTGTATTGAACCTCGATCATCACGAAGAACGAGAAAACGAGATGACAGTCGACAATGCCCAGGCCATCCGCATACTGTGACGGTTGAGTTGATATGCTGTGTACTCAGCTCACCACAAGCATGGGATTTATATACGAAGGCCGGCAAGCTGGAAACTGAAGAATAAATCATGTCACAATAAAACTATAAGTTACCAGAAGCCTTAGGAATAAGGCTTAGGAAAGATAAGGTCAGATTAGGAGTTCCAAAACCAAGCTGACTGAGAACTCTTCGAAAAACAAATGACAATATTTGTGACTAGATTGAGATTACCGCTTTATTATTTTAGCGACCTTCAGCAGCTTACCTCAAATGAGTTCAAATAGTTTCAAATTCAGTTCTCAGTCTCCAGTGATTAAAATGAGAGGTCTCTCGGCCTATATTAATCCTTGCAGTTTGTAAAGCTGTGGAGGTTTAATTTCGTTTCAATTAAATCAACGGAAAGTGCTGATATTACGTCGTAGTTTTAAATAAATCCCCAAAATCAATAGCTCTGTAAATCTTTGATATTTGATGCTGGCTGCATCAGGTTTAACTGAACGCATTGCGTTTGTAAGCCTGCTAGTGTAGGAGTTTAGAACCATGTTCACTGAAGAAGACGAAGGATCCACGAATTCTCCTTGTAGTTGGAATGTTGTTCCATAAACGAGTTGTGATGCCGTGTATCCAATGTCAGCTCTCAATGCATTGCGGATATCTGGTAAGACTAATGGAAGAGCGTCTTTCCACTGTGAATCGCGACTCGACACCATCTACAGGCTCACCTAGCTGAAGGCTCTCGGTCGCTCATCCACATTATATCAGGAGTGGGTACACCGTGCTTCACTTCTACAGTAGCTAGATTGATCACTTCTCTATATATCAATAGCCTATCAAATATGTTTTCGAACTTTTGATTTCACTTGGTTAGCATATTTCGAATGTGTGACTGGTTAAAATGCTGTCAAACCCTGAATACACGTGTCATTTTTAGTGTTGAGCTCGGCGTGATCTGGTACACCAATTTGTTAAACTGTCTGTCCGTTTTCGCAACTGCATATATAGGTTCTTATTTTGATTCTTGCATAAGTGGTTTTAATGGTTTAGGACGGAACAGAAGAAGCTTTTTCTTAACGCGCTTCAGTATCTAGTAACATTGAATCACTGATACCTCCAGGCAGGAACCTAGGTATACTATCGATAAAAGAGGAAAAAGAAATTGGTAAGTCATAGTAAGATATTATCCTTGGTCCTCAAGGAAACGTCAAGTTTTCTCTTAGAGGACTCCTGGGAAGTCATTTGGACTAGCTCAGTCGACAGCAAATTTCAGCATTTCACTACTGGTAAGGAGTTAAAGGTGTGTCTACAGTCTGTTCTGTTGTGTTGTGCCTCTAGGTTGTGAGTGTTACCTCTAAGGCTGGTGTTGGGACTGAGGCTAAGCAGGTGTTAAAGGGGATATCTATAAGTGTTCAGGATGATGTTGTAGTGACCGGCCAGTCTCGATAAGTACACGATCGAAATAACGGAAACAATTATTATCATTGTAACCAATTGTACCAGAGATTGTTTTACTGTATTTGTTTAACTGTATCAGTTTCACTTCTTGCTCCGTGCTCCGCTTTGTTTGGTTCGAGCTTGCTCACGCACTGCTCATTTTGCCTGTACTCTTTGGCACGTTTCGGTATTATTTCGCCAATAAATATACTTGATCTGGATTAATAAAGCCTTCTGATTTACGAGCTATCAAAAGAACCACGTCGTTTTTGGGCGCGTAATCGAATTGAAGTGGTGATCATAGCCCGTCCACGACTCGACATCCACTACAATGTAAGCCATTGTGTCAAACCTAGGACTCTGATGGGTTAAGATTCAGTGATTGGAGGCGTTCTTCACAAGGTTTGAATCTGAGTCCCCGATCTGATGACATGGTCAACCACCAACTTCTCATAGGTAAACTCGCATCTTATGGGGTCGAAAACCCGTTACTAGCCTGGCTTGATTCCTTCCTCAGCAATCGACATCAAATAGTTAAAATCAACTCTTCATTGTCGAACGCAGTCCCTGTTAGAAGTGGGGTAATTCAGGGTAGTGTCTTAGGTCCTTTGCTCTTTTTAGTTTTCATTAATGATATTTGTGAGTGTTTTAGTGTGGGTAAGTCCCTTTTGTTTGCAGACGATCTTAAGGTGGTGTACTCATTTTCTCCACATGAGCTGAGCAATATTCGAAATTGCATCAGCACGGAGCCTAACAAGGTAGCACAGTGGTGCTCAAAATGGCAGCTGGAGCTCAATACAGCTATATGTGGTTGGCTATGCTTCGGTGATACATCACTCAACCTTAATCTTACCATAAATGGTGAAATGTTATCTAGGTTACACACAGTAGTAGATCTAGGGCTTAGGTACTCCGATGACTTGTCGTTTACTGAACAGGTAATGAAACAAACGTCCAAGTCTCAACGCCTTATAGGTTTCATAACTCGAAACCTTCATAACAGTGAATCCCGTATTCTAATGTACAAAGTCTGTGTTCGACCACTCCTCGAATACTGCGCGTTTCTCCTTAGTAGCACGCGCATAAAGGATAAATTAAGACTGGAATCAGTACAGAGACGATTTACACTTCGTACTCTTGGACCTGATAGTGTCTTGACATATAATTCGAGGTGTAGTAAACTAGGGCTTGACCCTTTATGGATGAGGAGACTCAAACTTAACCTTATCTTCTTTTTCAAAATACTTAACAAACTCTCCTTCACATCCAGCCAGGCGATTCAATATGCTAAGGCTTCACATTACGACATTCGTAACTCCTTGTCTTTAGCGAAACAAACATATTCTAGCTATTCTCTCTATATGAATTACTTTACCTGTAAGTTTTCTAGACTCTGGAATAATTTACCCCAAACTATCCGTATGTTAAACTCTTTCCCATTGTTTGTTCGATCAATTAATGCTTTTTGCTTCTCTGAAAATTCATTAAATGCTCTAGCGCCTGCAAGTGTATCTTACTCCACAAGTGAGATTATAGGAACTTTAAATGTTTAATCTCTTACTTGCTATCATTGTTTTGTTGTTCCGTGCTCTTTGCTTTAATCTTACCTTCTCTAGTTGTAGATAATTAATAATAACTCGCTCTGGCACTGGTAATAACCTTACAGAATAATGTTGGTCAATCATCAGGCTATCCACTTAATAAAAAAATGACAAGTTCCCTGGTGTTGCATTGGCTTGCCGTGATATATGCCATCTTTAAACTGTTTATCAATTACTAAACCAGCAAACATAAAACCTTATAATTCATGTTTGTTCTCTACATTAAATGTTGATTTTTATAACAATCTGATCATGCCTGTAAACTGGTGTGAATTCTGTAAATATTATTTTCAGAATATATTATAATTATTATTATTATTTCGTGGCTCGTCGTTGTATACGCTTCAGATCTTCCTTGTTCTTTTGGTGTTAGAGAGGAATTACTGTGGTTCCGTACTTTAAATGTGGATGGATAAAACTGTCAAAGGTTATGTGGAAAGTTCTTCTGTCAAAGTGGCCAAAAATGCACTTCAGTGCCACCAGTGCAAGGTTTTCTCGAAAGGCACTTTTGTCACAGTTAGAGCAGGACTTGTGATTATAGGGTACCAAAACTCCTAGACCCTTACCAACTTGAGATAACTATAAAGGTAAGTAACCTAAGTTGCAACGTCTGTCAGATGGACTACTTTACACTTTGGAGCGTTCAATGTAAATCCGTTATCGTCTGCCCAACTTTGCAGTCGAGTCACATCATCCTGAAGCCCCAGTATATCCTTTTGGTTGCGTATCTCCCCACAAAGTTTCACATCACCAGCAAAAAGCAATAAGTCAGTCGATATCTGCTGTAGAAGATCGTTTACATCAATCAAGAAAAGAAGAGATCCTAGTAATGAACGATGGGGGATCCCAATAGGACATTCCATAACTCGAGAGAAGGCGAAGTTAACCCTAAACTCAAAATGTCGATTTTTCAGATATGAAGTGAGTTAGTCAATAAGAAGTGGTTTGAAACCCAATCGTTCGAGCTTATTGATAAAACATATGAGGTTGACCCTACCCCTCATTTCAAAAGATTAGGTCTTTCCTCACAAACAGATACCAAATAACCAAGCTGATGACTTTAAAGTCATCTATGAACTGACATTGGCGATGCACGTAGTACTATGCTAACAATTCAACATGAACTCAACAAAGTAGACGACTGGTGCAAACGCTGTGGGCTAGAGCTCAACACAGAGAAATCCTGTTGACTATATATTTGAGACACGTCTCTTGAAATAAAACCAGAACTTAACAATAACTTACTGCCCACACTGACATCAGTAACTGACCTTGGGGTACGTCACTCAGACAGTCTCAACTTCTCAGAACATATCTCAACTAAAGCATCTCAAATGCGGAGATTGTTTGGCTTCATCCTTCGTAATTTCTTTCACAACGAAGCTAAAATCATTCTTCATAAAGTCTGAGTAAGACACATCGTCGAATACAGCTCGTTCATATTTTCCAACCTACACCTATCTGATATACTTAAGGTGGAAGGAATACAGTGAGACTTTACTCACAAAATACTTAAGAATGACCAACTCACTGACTACAAATCCAGATGCCTTATCTTAGGACTAAAACCCCTCTGGAAAAAAAGGCTTAGGTCTAACTTAATTCTTTATTTCAAACTCTTTATAAACCTTACTTATTTCACATGTGATATAGCTCTCACATGGATACAACCTTCGAGACAAAGTATCCACAGTCAAAATTGCAAAACACGGATCAAAAACACGTGAAAACTTCTTCTCTATGAAGTACGCATTGATACAAAAAAGTCTGCCTTCTGAAGTACGCATAGAAGACAAATTAAATACGTTTACAAGACTTATTATTCAACCTAAAACCTGCATAGATCTGGTGCAAACGAACACATCCACGTCCCACACAGACATCACAGGCTCTCTAAATATATAGACTGAAACGCCTTATTTCCCTACCTTGTAGTTGTATTAGATATTTTCCCCTCACTTAATCTTTTCAATTGAAGTAGACAGGCAACTCACTGGATATATCAATACTCGGTCGCTAAACGACGCTTATAAATACCGTAAAACGTCAGAAAAAACGCACAATCGACTGCCTACTGCCAGTGGTCGTACAACCACAGAACCTGTCACCCATCAACCGGTTAGCATAAAACAAAACAACCTGAGCGCGAATTTAGTGTGAGTTACTTCTTGTCTATTCTTTATCAGCTTTTTACTCATCTGTACACTATGTTGCCTTACCATCAATATTATCTCACCACTCGTTATCTGTAACTAATACAAATCTACACTTTTCCGCCTACTATGGTAAACAAATATCCTACAATATACCCTTCCTAATGTCTATACTCTGATTCGTAACCTACACCTTCACCAAGACACACATGGATACAACCTTTGAGACAAATTATCCACAGTCAAAATTGAAAAATACAAATCAAAAACTCGGGATAACTTCTCTGTCAATTATGCATTAATATGGAATAGTCTGCCTCCTGAAATACTCATGGCTGATAAATTAAATACGCTTGTTCTTCGTGATGATCGTGGTTCAATACAAATATATTGTGACAAAAATTCTCTCCAAATTCCGCAATTTAATTCTGAGTCTGTCCTGATAGTGACAGGTAAAGTCCAAGCACGTCCGGAAAAAGATGTTAACAAGGTAATGTTATTTGTGTTATATTTTAGCTTCAAGCGTATGCCAACTGGCGAAATCGAAATAGTTGCTGAAAGCATTGAAATCCTTAGTCATTCATCTCCACTCTCCTTTCTTCCGAAAGATGAGGCGAATGTCAGTTGTTATCCTATGACCACTCGGTTATTTTAAGGTCAACGAAATGGAAAGATTAAAATATCGTTACATTGATCTTCGTTCGTCGAATATGCAAAGAAACATACGGTTTCGTTCATCTATCATATTGCAAATGCGGAACTTTCTGTGTCAAAATAATGGTATTGTAAATATTTTGTGATTTACGTATATAGGTTTTACTGAAATCGAAACTCCGTATTTGTTCAAAATTACTCCAGGGGAAAGTATTTGTATTAATTTTTGACTTCTTTAGGGTGCCCGTGAGTTTGTTGTACCTACCAAGTTTCCTGGATTATGGTATTGCTTACCTCAAAGCACTCAACAATTCAAACAGCTTTAGATGATAAGTGTATTTAGTAAATATATGCAGGTTGCTGGATGTTTTCGCGATGGGACTTCTAGGTCTGACAGACAACTCGAGTTTACTTAGGTTATCTTTCATTCTTCCTAACTTTTGTAGTTGGACATAGAAATGGCATTTATCACTCCAGATGATATTTATGAAATAATTGAGAAAATGTTGTTATATATTTGGCCTACAGTTCAGAGTACTTCAGGTTATCAGACAATATCGATTGCATTTTTGCGCATGGAATATTGTGATGCTATGTCATGATATGGAAGTGACAAACCAGATGTACGCTTTGGTTTCTTGTTTTCATATTCCGCATTGATGGACTCACAGGATTTGATATACCAAGGAAATACGTAAGTGTCTCTTTACGGTTCTTCACTTTCGAGGTTCTCATAAAGCTTGATGATGCAATGGATGTTCTAGTTTTACAAATAGCTACCAGTAGCACCTTCTTTATTCGATCGTTCCCAGTCAGATAGAAATCAGAAGTCAGACGAGGAGAGGCAGGAAAGATATATTTGATTCGTTACCAATATATCGAGGACCTTTTCTATAAGCTGGCTAATGAAACGTAGGAGCTGTGTCCCACACCGTGTTGAAACGTGATCTGATGCGGATGCATGACGGAAAGCCTTCAGCTAAACAAGTCCACTTAAACAACGTGGTCAGCATCCAATGTCGAACACTTAATGAGTCATTGATTTTGGGGAAATATTTACAGCTACAGATCACTCCTCCCTAGTGAGGTAGTGATGGCCCTAAGTCGTGACCAGCCAGAAGTTTAAACCCAACGAGTTTGTCGTTGGTAAACACTCTTCTGATAGCTTGCTTCGTTTAGCAGCGTCTGGTCGTCTTTCCTTAAACTATGGGACCAAAATGTACAACATAGCAATAAAGAAATATAGTACAATGAAAATTTCGGTTCCTTGCAAAACTTCGTCGTTCTTTTCCAGCCGTTCTGGAAAAGAGGAAAAATAAAACGTGTGAGTGCATGTCGAAAATACACTCGTACTTGCGTAGGGACACAACATGAGCGGGAGAAAAATGAATAAATTAATGCACTTACAAACAGCGTAAAAGCGATCGGAAAAAATGATTTTCTTTTGGGTTTTATATATATACATAAAAATATTTATATATATACGCTTAAAAAAAATAAAAATGTTTTTTTATATAAATAAAAAAATGAGCATAATAAAAAAATTTTATAATAAACTATGAAAGGGTAATTCAAGATAAAGCTTATTTCCTACGTGCAATATTCGTTAGGATGTTCTGGAAATCTTACTCGTCTTCCAGAACGCGTTGTTTTAAGTTTTTCTATCGACGTTGACGAAGTATCAAGTTGTGTGTCGGTTGTCGTGTAAGGTACTAAGAGTGTAGTAGCTGTGTCGTTTGCTTGTACCGAAGGAAAATCAACGTAGCTAGGGTTTTTTATTTTTAAGTACGCTGCTTTTAGTCGATCGATACTGATGCCATCTTTCGTACCGTTCTAATCGACTACATAGTACTTAGGTTCGCGTTGAAGAACTTTGAAGGGTCCTTCGTATGCTGATTCGAGGGGTCGTCGATGTGAGTCTCGACGAACGAAGACGTGTGTACAATGTCGTAATTCGGGTTGAACAAAAACATCAGTTGATTGAGGTCGAGTGAACGCATAGCGTTTGTAAGCCTACTCGTGTAAGAGTTTAGATCCATGTTCAATGAAGAGGCTGAAGGATCCACGAATTCTCCTGGGAGTCGGAGTGTCGTTCCGTAAACGAGTTGTGATGCCGTGTAATACCAAGCAAGACGAGTGGAAGAGCGTCTGTCCACTGTGAATCGTTTGAAGCTGATAATAAGGCTTTTAGTTGTCGATGAAAACGTTCTACCAACCCGTTTGCTTGTGAGTGGTAGGCGGTCGTTCGGAAGCGCGTGATTCCTAAAAGTGAGGTTAAACAACAGAAATGTAGTCCAGTTGTCGAGACTCTCGCGGTGAGTACTGGTCTGAAGATGAATTTAAAGAGAAGGTAAGAAGTTTGTGATCGGTAAACAGGGTGAATTCTCTTCCTTCGATGGAATGTTGAAAATGCCGTACAGCACAATACATAGCTAGGAATTCCCTACCGAACATACTGTACCTAGATTCCGCGTCTAACAACCGTCTCGAGAAAAATCCTAAAGGTTGCCACGAGTTGTTAACCCATTGTTGTAAGACTCGTCCGATTTCTGAGTCGGATGCGTCTACGGCGATACTAATGGGCGCTTGAGTGTCCTGATGAACAAGCAGGGTTGTCTTAGCGATGTGTTCCTTAACTGTGGAGAATGCTTTACGGGCTGTGTCGTCTAAACTAATTGATTTCACATTTCCACGAAGCTGATCGGTTAACGGTTTCATTAGGGATGCGCATTTGGGTAAGAACTGTCTATAGAAACTTACGAGTCCGTTAAAAGTTCGTAACTGCCTGATCGTGGTCGGTTCTGGGTAATCCAGAATGGCCGCCACTTTGCTCCTAAGGGGTCGGATGCCTTGGGCATCAATAGTGTGTCCTAAGAAGTCTAAGCAGTTAGTTCCGATTTGGCATTTCTGAATGTTGACAGTAATGCCAAGCCTTTGGGAGTCGATCGAAAACAATGTCCAGATGCTTGAGATGTGATTCTCTGTCCGGACTTGCTATTAGACAGTCATCAACATACGCATGTACGAAGTTGAGACCTCGGAAGACGTCGTCTATAAACCTTTGGAAGGTTTGAGTCGCATTTCTTAGACCAATAGGTATTCGTAGAAATTCGTAAAGACCGAAGGGAGTGATGATAGATGTTTTAGGGATGTCGTCAGGTGCCATAGGGATTTGGTAATAAGCTCTAATCAAGGCGATTTTCGAAAAGACAGTTGTACCTTTCAAGGTAGCTGTCAAATCGTGAATATGAGTCAGCGGGTAACGATCGGGAATGGTTTTTGCATTCAGACGCCGATAATCACCAGTTGGCCGCCAATCATTGCTGTTCTTTTTAGGGACCATGTGCAATGGGGATGACCATGGACTATGCGATGGTCGAAGTATCCCTAGGTCCATCATGTGGTCGAATTCGTTTTTAGCTAACCTAAGCTTCTAGGGAGCGAGTCTTCGGGCTTTCGAAAATACAGGTGGTCCTGTAGTCCAGATGTGATGTGTAACATTGCTGGTTACACAAGGAAATTTCGATTGCGATTGGTATAACCTGGGGTATTTGTCGAGTAATAATTGCAGGGCTTCCTGCAATTTCTAGAGCATTTACCGTACTGGTTGTAAAAGCAGCACCAGTAGGGGTTGCATGTCTCTCGTGGTTGAGAGACAGATCTCTTACGTGAAACGCTCCTACGTGGGGATTTTGACTGACTACGGTCAATACGAATTCTAAGATATCTTGTAAGCAAGTGACATAGTTCGGCCAAGTCGATATTGTTAAGGAGTTGGTCTAACCGTTGCCGATCAGTTAGGTCTCTTCGTTTTGAAATCGATAGCTTAAGCTTTTCGTAAGGTTCGGGAACATCACTAGTAAACATACTTGGTGTTGCGTACCTGTTAACCTCGCGCGCTAACGTCTTACCTACCGTGAGGAAACGTGTGCGCGACTCCGTGATTCCGTGCATGCGAAAATCGGCTTCTGTATATCAGAACTAGGACTCGATATTGTCGGGCGAAAATGGAGTTAACTGAATCGAAATAGGGGGAATAGACTTAAATTTAGAAACCTTGGGAGTGTTCCGTCATAGTAATATAGATAACGAAAATTGTCTAATTAAAAATATATATCCCAGAAAAATATTCGCGGAAAAAAGTATATCACAATATATAAAATTCAAATACAGAATAACAATGATAGATAATATTCCAAAATGTAACAAACTTACAGTATATTGACTTCGTGTACCAGATCACGTCGGGCTCACCAATGAGGTTGCAACGGATGTTCTAGTTTTACAAATAGCTAACAGTAGCACCTTCTATATTCGATCGTTCCCAGTCAGATAGAAATCAGAAGTCAGACGAGAAGAGGCAGGAAAGATATATTTGATTCGTTACCAATATATCGAGGACCTTTTTTATAAGCTGGCTAATGAAACGTAGGAGCTGTGTCCCACACCGTGTTGAAACGTGATCTGATGCGGATGCATGACCGGAAGCCTTCAGCTAAACAAGTCCACTTAAACAACGTGGTCAGCATCCAATGTCGAACACTTAATGAGTCATTGATTTTGGGGAATTATGTATAGCTTCATTCTCAAGAATCTTATATGTAGCTAGTAAATGCTAGCTTCCGTTTTCAGTAGAGAAAAAACTGGTCATTTGGACATTTCTCTGTATCATTTGAATACAGACAAGTGCATTGATAATTTATCGATTTCTTAGCTCAATAGCGGTAAAGTGTTAAGATAATTTCTCGAAATATTTTCATTCTCAGAGTAATTTGGTACGCGTTAACTAACTTTGATGAATTCGTTGTATCCCACTGGTGACTTCTTTGTTAATGTTATCTTCGGATAACGGTAAAAAGTAAATGGCTTTCTCAGCAATAAGAAGGGTGTTCGTTGTTTGTCTTCATGGCCCCATCAACGCTGATCAATGTATTAAAATTGATCCTGATATTCAGAGTAGAAGTTTGTACGTACGAAGTTCTACGTTGTAACTGACTGACTGACTGAAAACTCCACAGTTTTATCGGAATTCCATAAAATATCAATCTGATAACTAATAGGTTTTGAATCGTAGATAGAGAATTTTAGCTAAATATTTCCCACATACCTATTGTCATACTGATGATATTTATTATCCTTAGTATCCCACATGCAACCCGCCAAAGGTTTTTCAAGGACAACCGAGAAAACTATGTGTGAGTGCTGATTTTTTGATTGAGGTCTAAGATCGCAATAATCTTTCATACATTCTCAGCTTCACCGGTTTTATTCAAGTGTCCGTATTGTTCTTTCACTTGATTTCCTTTTTGTAGTGATTCTCCCACTTTTCTAATTAGAAACGTAGAAACCTCTAACAGTTTGGATTTAATCCAGGCTTTTTATTGTTTACGGTGTATATCTCGTATAATATTGGCTTTCTTCTTCTTTCAGTCATCAAATTTAAGTGCTGAAGATTTGGACTCCTTGGAAGATTTGGTTTTTCGTCTAACCGGTCAAGTATGTCGTCTGTATCTTCATTTTCTGCACGGTATTTTTAAGTGATTTATTTTATCACGTTCGATTTTACCCTAAATTTTATATATGCTTATGAGTGCTAGACAAACTTTTCATGTCATGCATTTCGAAGAATCCACATCATAAAAACGATATCTCAGTCGGTCAGTTATAAAGCCGGGGACATGTGTGCGTCAGTCCACGTCCTCGTATCACGTCTACAAGACAAGATGGAATTGACGATAGGTAGGATAAAATTTTCCGAAGTAATGGTATAATCGGTATTAGTGAGAAGGATTATATACTGAAGAACGCTGTTTCTAGAGAACGGATTAATTCAAGGAATAAAAATTGCGAATTGATTTTGAAGCTCAAGACTTAAGAGGCAATAAGTTAATGGATGTGTCATTTTTTGTTTCTGACCAATTCCATCCTTTGCCTCCAACCGCTAACCATTATTATTGTGCAGACCCCAACCACATGGTTTACACTCATCAACACGACAGCAATTTACTTCATCGGCTGATGATGTCTACGGAAGTGTCAGCCTCCCAAGGACCTCTATTACCAACAGAGCTTGTGTTTGTAAACCGCTACTTTTGACATGTGGGTTGTTATCTAGTTTTTGAAAACAATAGCACTAACCCATCAGTCGTCTAAAACTCCTATAGTGTTGGAGATGCTTAAAACAAACTTGTCTTATCAGAGTCGATTTTTTTTCAGTTAGTTAGGCGATCATCATCCGCTCTCGCGAGCGAGATTCGAACCCAGGACCCACCAGTTACGAGCCAGAGCCCTTAACCCATAGACCACTGAGCCGGCATCCAACGGTGTTAATGTCTAACTTCAACTGATACACGAATTATGAGCGACACTTCACCAATTGCCTTCAGTGAGTTGTTATCTCACAACAGACGTGGTTGAACATCTCTGGTCACTGCTTCCCACTAGAACTCCTGAACATGTATCTTGTAGTCAGTCACTAGTGAGCATATGATTATAATCAGAAGGGGATTTGTGGAGATTTCAGTATATTTCAAAGTTGAAATCATGAGTCAATTGAAGCTAGACCACCATCGAAAACCTGGAAGCACTGAACGGCCGTTTCGTCCTACTATGAGACTCCTCAGCAGTGCGCATCCACGATCCCGCTCTCGCGAGCGAGGTTCGAACCCAGGACCTACCAGTTACGAGGAAGAGCACTCAACCCATAGCGGAATATATAACACATCTAATACCTTTGACACTATCTACATGTTTGACTAAGCAAAACAACCAATCATTCTCTCCCGCACATTAAGTTCATAGTTCTTAAAAGGTACCACCCATCATTCTCTTCAGGATATAGCAAAATCATGAATATATATATATACGATTGTACAGCCTGATAATAGGTTCGTTGAGAAGGGATTCTTTCACTGAACTTCAAGTTTTTAATGTCTAAATAGGAAACTGTATTTAGTCGCAATTTGTTCACTTAACGTTTTGTCTGACTTTAATTTTGATTAGTGTTTCATTGGATTTGGCTAACTTATTTTCTACTACTTTTTTATATTTTGTAGAGAATATCAATTTTGACAGTCCAAAATATCAAGTCAAACCAGTTGGACTTACTAAATTTATTGAAACCAACGTGTGGTGATTTAGTTGTCTTCATTAAAGGAAATACAGAAATTGAGCTAACAATTGCCTTTCATACTGATTGGTTTTTGCCTACTAGTTAAAAGCATTGGGCATGGCACGAGTTAAAGTTGCTAAGCTTAATGATTCGAAGGATGGTACCCTTTTTTCATTTCATTATTTGATCAACTAGCTTTTATATAACAACTACATTCATATTCTCTTAGTGGTAATTGCGTATTTTTCGAATGAGCAAACTACTTAATAAACTGATCAGTTGCTGGAGATTAACCAGAGTTAACAAGCCTATTTTTTGTCCTCCAAATGCTTAACATCAGTTAGAAAGTTACTGAGTCGGTTAAAGAAGTGTTAGTTCTCTATTTGAATACATTTATGAGGTCAACAAAGGACAAAGTTTTCACCAGAGCTTTTCTCATTTTACAATCAAAATACCTTAATGCTCTTAAAATATTTTACCTTACGTTAATTCCTATCAGGCGAAATTTAAACATTGCCTTTCAGAGGAGCCTACAGATCACCATACTTTCATTTGCCAATACTTTGCTTCATCCACTTGGATTTAATTATCCTTGCTCGATCTTCATGAATTATATGCATATGATTATCTTAAGTCATACTGTTGGATATATATGTAATTTCACAAAGCAATGATATTTTATTGTTGGTTGTTGGAATCGTAATGCATACGGTACAGGAACTCATCTGTGTGACTTCACAACAGTCAGACTCTGGATCCGTGATGAGGTCTCAGAGCCTCTTAGCCTTGACCACATTGCTTCTATATTAGTGTGCACTACTGTGGTAGGGTCAATAAAATATCTCGTGAACGATGACAATGGTCGTAACCAAGTCTGGATAGGCATCTATATGCACTCCAGTCGTCCGTGTATTTTGTGGTACCTGGTTGCACACACTCCCATATAATTAGTATCAGCTTTGTAACCTTTCAGTTTCTGAGGTTCTGAAAATGTCACTTTTGCGATGATCTATCATCTATACCAAAAAGCTGCCAATAATGTCTAAGAAACTGTTACTTACCCAATCTTCAGTCACACTTTCTCTATTAGGTCTGCGTTTCCGAAAGACCGTCTCATCGATTTTCTCGTTTCCTCCAGACGACTAATTCAACATCGTCATCTTTATTGAACATATGTCGCTATAATACTCGTACCACTGAACTGCTGAAGCTTCAGTAACATCTTAAAAGGTTGCATCCAGTATTACTGGTGCACTTGTAATTCAGTCTACAACAATTAGCACAACCTGTCTCAATGTCAATCGTGATTGACTCAAAGAAGTTCTCGTTCTTTCAGACTTCTTTCAATATATTTTACATCGAAATATCATGTCGTCCAGATAGTCTGCACACTGTTCAACAGTTATTTGAACTCCTCAATCATAAATAACAGAGGTTCTCAGTAGGCGCATCTGTTGTAGCGGCTGAACTTTGATGTCCTCCTTGAAATTCGCTGTAAACTGATTGTACGTGTACATTACATGTTGAAGTATAAATGTCTGTGACCCTAGACTCGCCTGCCCGATTCTTATTGGCTCATCCATGAATTACAGTCTCACTAAAATTCATCGCACAAATTACACCGAATGTTGTATTCTTCGATTTGAGTGGGTCGTTTATGAATTCTTTAATTTACAGGTATAATTACTAAGTTTTGATATTATAATTTTGAACAAATTGAACATTGGGTAGATTGTTATGAATAAAATATTTGTAATATCCCAATGGGTTGAAAAATGAGATTTTCTGACGTTTCGTGTCTCACTGTAAGCTTCTTCTTCAGAGAACAAATAACCAAATTAACATTAACCCATGTTTAAATAGTACAACGGAACAACATGAATATTAGGTGCGATCAATCAAAAAACAGTTTATTATGGCCAGCCATGTCTTGTATTTTCGTAACTGTCCAGGACGGTTTGTCTTATCATTGGATTGCACTTATTATTATCACCATTTTATTGTCTGTTTTACTGATTGGTCCGCATAATTTTATGACAACTTATGCCCACTACTTTTTCATCGCATGTATTATATTCCTTACTGCCTATTTCCTTTAGGTCAATGGAAATCAGTGCACCACCCGTTCACTGCTGCGTCACCAGAGACAGCACATTTCTTGTATACTGATCCGAGCAAAGTTATCGGTTTACATTACGATTTGGTTTGTAATGGTCAAGTGGTTGGAGGTGGTTCAATTCGAGTACATAATCCTGAGGTGCAAAAGCATATTTTTACCGAAATTCTTAAGGTAGAGTTCCTATATATATGGATATAATCATTATATTATTTCAGGACAATTCTTGTGAAATGGAATACTTTTTAACTACCCTAAATTCAGGAGCTCCACCGCATGGTGGGATTGCGTTAGGTAAGTGGATGTTATATCCTTACATAGATTCTCTCTAGGTCTTGATCTTTTAATTGCAATATTTGTAAATGCCAAATCAATCAGAGATGTAATTGCTTTCCCAAAAGCAGCTGATGGGAAAGATCTCTTATGTGGAACACCAACTATGGTAGATGATGAAATTTTATCACAGTATTGCATTTCTGTTTCCAATCTTAATAAAAGTTGATTCCCAACTGATAATTTTAACCTTTCTAAATAGTGTTTGCTTTAGCAACATCACAGTAGTTTGGGTATAATTATTGTTAGGAATATTTTACCATCATGGTATCCTAATGTTTATGAATATTGTAAATATAATTAGATTGTGTAAAAATCAAATTGTGTTTCGTGTTTTTGTTATAATACTCATCGACGTGTGCCTTCAACAACAATAGAACTGTCTTGACATTTGTATTGAAAATTCTGATCTTGGCGTTGGCTGACAATTGTTTTGATTTCGAGATGTTCTTCAGTTGTAAATATGCTGCTCTTGCTTTGCCGATCCCTACACTCACATCTGTATCAGATCCACCGTGTTCATCAATGATGCTGCCCAGATATGTAAAATTTTACACATCCTCCAAAGCTTCCCTGTCAAGTGTAATTAGATTGGTGCATATTGTTCTGTATCGGAGAATATTGCTTTTCCCTTTGTGTATATTGAAACTTACTGCTGCTGCATTGGTTTTTTCTGCATTTGTTGTTGCGTGTGTGATATAAGAGCCAGATCATCTACCAAGTCTAAATCGTCCAGCTGCATCCTAGCTATCCACTGTATCCCGAGCTTTCATTGTGAATCATAAAGAGAACAAGATACAGAACATATGATTAGATCTGGTTAAGATTGGTGCACATTTACGAGCTGAAAATGATACAAAATAGAAAGGGTAAAATCACAGTTACTAATAATTTAATTTAACAGAAAATGATTACGCAATTGTCATCAAACTAGTGAGCGATTGTATACATATGTAGTATGAGTATATTCCAAACAGAAATCAAATATCTGATTGATAAAACTCCGTTTATGTTATTGTTAAGTCTGGCCGATTGTGAACGTTATATTCGCTTCCCTAAGCCATTTCCGTATCCCCGAGCTAGAACTGTACACCGACTTGAAGACCAGAAAAAAGGCACAAAGTGTGAGGGAAGCACTTTACTACAGGGTTCATTTATGTACAGAAAATATGAGGGTCTTATAGTAATTCAAGAGTCACTGAGTTTTACTGAAAATTCTAGAATACTGCTGAACATAGTAGCCGTATATTAATCAGCCAATCAGGATCTCCACATGTGACTTTTTCATTCTCGTTATTTTAGTTACACAACTTCACACAACTTCTAATTAACCTCTGATTGGTTGAAATGATCCTTGATGACTCAAGAGCTTGTCATGTCGCTTGCGAGAAAAATGCCGGGTCATCCCAGCAGCTATAAAACCTAGTGAACTTGGGCCACAAAATCAGTTAATTGAAAGTGAAAAGTATCGGTCAGATAATATCAAAGGCCGCTGCAGGAATATAAATTAGGAGGCTTTTACCAATCTTATCCTCTAAAGAAATGACTGGCTTGTGATGAAATCTAGATTATAGATTGGAGGGGGTTTTGTGGAGAATTTAGTATTTTCACTGTTGAAATCATGAGTCAATTGAAGCTAGACCACCGTTAAAAACCCGGAAGCACGTGATGGCCGTTTCGTAAACATTAACACCGTTGGATGTCGCCTTAGTGGTCTATCGGTTGAGCGCTCTGGCTCGAGACTTCGATGGTGGTCTAGCTTCAATTGACTCATGATTTAAACAGCGGAAATCTAGATTATCAGTATGGGGTTGTGGAGGCCTAAGTTTTTCATTGAGCTCATGAGCCGATTGATGTTAGACCACCATTAAAAGTCTGGAGGCACTGGACGGCCGGTTGGTCCAACAGTGGGACTCCTTAGCAGTGCGCATCCACGGTCCCGCTCGTGGTGTTCGAACCCAAGGCCAACAGTTTCGCGCAGATGCTTATATTCTAGACCACTGAGCTGGTCGGCATTCAACGGTGTTAATGTCCAACCTCAACTAATCCACGAAATTGCATGACCATCTTCCATTGTACTGAGGTAGATACCTGTCCGTACTTGACACGGATTGTCTCCACCGGGCAAGGCTTCTCACTGGAACTCTGAGAATTCCCTCAGGAAGCTAGTCACTAGTGGGCACATGGTGGTGGATGCGCACTGTTGAAGAGTCCTACAATAGGACGGAATGGCCGTCCAGTGCTTCCAGATTTTCAATGGTCGTCTAACACCAATCAGTTCATGATCTCAATCAAAAAATCTAGGTTACTTGAGCTCTCAGCATAAACTTGGAGAATAACAAGGTTATTGCTTTTGATTAAGGCGCTTCTAATTACTTACAAAATTAGCTCACCACTCTGTATCATTTTCTCAAACTGCTAACCAAGTTGTTTAATGGCCTAATATTACTGATTTACTAGCACAATGTTTTAAGCAAAAAACTGTTTTTAGAAAGCTGTCATAGTAAATGAAATTCTCTATGAGAATATCTACGATTTCCAAACTTAGGGTTGATTGACTACAGAGCGGTGGCCAACCTCGTGTTTATCAATTCATAAGTGATAATCTAATTATATTGGTCAAGTTGCATTGTGCCAAATAGATTAAGTTACTCTACATCTCTAAGTTGAAATTTATCATAATATGCGTGCATATTTATTGAAATAACTCCGCCTGTAGCTCCTCTGAGGGTTACTGCCGGTACCAAGCCCGGGTAAAAAAGGAGGGTTGGGCATGGGATTAGCGACCTCATCCCGTAGAAAATCAACTCGCTAACAAAACGCTAACCAGAAAAATCTATCATTTGGAGAAATCTGGTCGGCGGCCTATTCTGCATTGGGTGTAACAGGCGTAAGTAAGTAAAAAGAATATTTATTGAAATAAAAGGGGAAGATCCGTGTAAATCTATGCACTATGTTCTCCGTAGAAGTCACTACATCTCTGGTGGCATTTCAAACTGTTATGCTGCTTTGTTCATCCTCCAGCATCAGATTTCTTACACTGTGTTAGTAATAATCACTCCAAAGATGCCGCCTTCTTCAAAACCAACTATTCTTTGTCATCACTCAGCTTTTTATAATGTGTGATAATAATTACACTGTTGTTATGAGTTGAGATCTGTTGGCTATAATTAGATATTTAAGTTGTTTTTTCACTTCTTGTGTCCGACACCAATTGGAGGACTTCAACACTGTCACGTTTATCAACGAATCCTTAGGCATTATTAAATCACTGAACTGATGAAGACTTCTGGCTATTGTCTAAAAGTAATCTTACCAACGAGATGTTTGGATAAAACTAGGATGATGATTGTTGATCAATGTGTCTATAATGTATTCTGGGTTTATTTGCAATTCTGTTAGATCTCAGTTGTTCAGCAATCTGACTTTTATTTTCTTCATCTGTGAATTGATGATTGCTGATCAATGTGTCTATAGCCCTTAAATGCCCTGGTACGGCCGAGAGAGTGGAGAGTCTGCTCTCCTTCTCGAAATGCTCTCATATGGTCATGCAAATATATAGCCTCTGTCAGGAAAGTCCTACTCACTGCCTTCTCGTGGCGTGGGTGTTGTTTACGAAAGTGAGAGGACGAAAAGCGAATGTCCGGCGCTTTAACCGGGTTGGTGGATGTGGAGGATCCACCTAGGGGAGTTGAAAAACCCTGATTCCAAACCAATGGTGCACATGGGCTCCAGTATCCTGAAGGAACGAATGGCGTATGAACCTGCTGATGGTCACTGGCTATCATGGGACTGCATCTCTTTACGATACTCCACTGCCTTGTGGAATAGACCTTTAGGTCAAAGGCTCGGGGTGCAGCCCCCTAAGCAGTATCACAACCCTCACACAAATCGAATGAGATTTGTTTGGCGCATATTTATCTGGTGCTTTTTGTACCAATATTTATGTGTTCAAATAAAATGAAACAAAAATAAATTTGTCTATAATGTATTCTGGGTTTATTTGCAATTCTGTTAGATCTCAGTTGTTCAGCAATCTGACTTTTATTTTCTTCATTTATCGGAAATTCAGAATTATCTAAAGAGTAATTAGTAATGGGAATCATTAAAATTAATGTCGGAACTATCTATCAAAAGTTCAGATTTAGGGTTAGTTCGAAGATGATCAGAATTAAAATTGTAATCACTTAAGTGATCTTAATTAATCTTCTTTTTGTTTGTATATCTGCTGTGAATTGCATGGTCATTTAAATGAAGGTTCTCGACCATCCGACTACTCGTTCTTTTAGTCATAATTCCCGTAGATGGTTGGTAGTTATTTTCTCACTAAAATCGAACTTCTGATAATGTTTTGTTAACTGAGTTCGAAGTATGCGACGTTTATGCTATTAGTTCCCTAATTATTAATCCACTTTTCCTCACACACGTATATATGTCTATATATGACACATAGAAATTTATATTTTATTATCCTTTGTAATTAATTGAGAATTTTGTTGCATCATTCTAAATTATTATTGCATAGATGTTTATACTAATATCCAGTTTTACTCTGTATACTATTACATAAATCTACATGTATTTATCCGAGCCCAATGAAGGTTGCTATTTTGTTTAAATTATTGGTTTACTTCTGAGGTCAATATTCATTACATCATTATTATCATGGATGAACCCTTTCACACTAAGTGTTCATTACTTTTCTCTTTCCTTTCTTTCCTTCTAAATCAAGATTATTCTTAAGACAATAACTTGCGTTACACATAAATCAACTTCTTATACTCATTTTATCTTCACTTTTGTTAAGTCGGCTTACAGTAAACTATATCAGAGCCTCCAGAGGCTCATAAAGAGCCCAACCAATCAGCGATTAATTAGAAGCTTTGCTACTAAAATAACGAAATCCTGATTGGCTGTTTAACACACTGCTACTATGGAAACTCAAGGTCTCTTAATTACTATAAAATCCCTGTATTTTCCGTACATAAACGAACCCTGTAGTAATGTGCTTCCCTCGTACTTTGTGCCTTTTCTCTGGTCTTCAAGTCGCGGTGTATAGTTCTAGCTCGGGGATACGAAACTACTTTAGGGAAGCAAATATAGCGTTCACAACCGGCCAGACGTAACAACCTTGACATATATGAATAATACATAATAATATTTGATTGTCGTTTGTACTTAATTGACACTTTCATAGTATCACTCTAAACTATGACTGTAAGTCACATATTCTACCATCATATCTGGTGATTCATACATAGTTGTTTATACTTGTTATGTATTGACAAATATGCCTAATAAACTATTGACA